TCATTGGTACTATTCTTATTTTTATGCCTTTAACGCCAGGAAGGCTGTCCTGGAGAAATGTGCAGCTGCGTGGCAAACCTCACAAACCTCTATGGCAAAAGACAGTAGCTGTGCAAAACAAAACCCAAACCATTGTCTGTGAAGGGAGGGTTAATTTTTCAGTCTTATAACTTTAGCACTGCCAAAGTAGATGCCACTGACAGAGCAAGGTTATCTTTCTGTTCCCCCAGCAATTTGGGTCTGCTGGAAAAAGCAGCTGTGCATTGGCTGCTTTTTGGCCTCCCTCTCTCCCCATCCTGTTGCTGAGGCAACTGTGTGAGCAAGGAAATTCCCCACAACATGTGACTTTGGGCTTCCCCCAGGCTGGTTGCCTGAACTGCAGCCACACTCTATTTATGGAGCAGAGCATTCATGCTTTTGTGCACAGCTCAAAAAAGAAAAGAAAAGAAAAAGCCCATAATATGTCCACACAGGGGACTGTTTAGGTACTTGTGAGGCTGACCACCTTTCCTTTCTCCTCTCCTTCTTTCCAGCAACTGCAAGTACGGGCCTCTAGGCTCCTTCCACTTGCTTCTATGGAAATCCCCCTTTTTTTACATGCCTTGGGGCACCAAAGGGCTCAAAAATGTACAGTAAAAACGAATCTTTGATTTTAAATACCCGCTTGCAAGTGCACCGTGATCTTTGCAAAGTTGGTTAACTTCCGGGAAAAATGTTATATGATACCAAATTAATATTAGTGTCCTTTAAAAAAAAAAGAAGATGATATACGGTATGCTAATATTGCATCTTGCATTGATTCTGAAATTATTTCTGGAGATAGGAAACAACTGTGATTATTAAAAAGGAGCTATTTTCTTTTTTAAAAAAACAACAACTCACTATATTGTGCTTATTTACACACTTTCGTTAATATTTGATATAACTTCTATATTAAAGAGATTACAAAGTTTTTCCCCCTTCCTCTAAAATTATATCTGATTAGGTAGTAATTTAGCTCTGTTTCAGTTGTCATTTATTATTTCTTCTGCTGGTAGCTAAATAGTTTCAAAAAAATGAAAATATTAGATACCACATAGATTTATTAGCCATATTAGGTTCTTCCGAATTTTGTGTAAGTCCCTCTCCAACAAGCCTTGTACAGTGTGCATCCTTATTTGTTTTTTCATTTTCTTATTCAAATATCTATCCTCTAATCTGCAGCTATTGTTCATGGGTTTTTTTATTCTTTTAATAGCAACTTTCTCAAATTGTGACAGGAGTTACATCTTGCATATGCAGGATTCAGTTGAGTTTTCATGAGTTCAGTTGCATGTTAAATATTAGAAAAACATGTTTATAAAAGGATACTAGCATGTAATATCTAGCATAAAATTATTAAAATGACCATTGGTACTATATGCTAAGAAAATGAGCAGAATTGGCTTTAAATGGTAAAGTATGAATGGCTAGGCAGTGGTACAGCTAACTAAAACCCACCTCCATCTGATTATAACTTTATCATGCGTACAACTAACATTTATTTTTTCCCTGCTTGTCCTTTAGTAGTCTAAGCTTTTAAACCAGAGGATGGCAAACTTTTTATATACAATAAAGCAGTGGTCCCCAACCTTTTGGGCACTGGGGACCCATTCTGTGGAGAGAGGTTTTTCCGTGGACCAGAGGGGGTGTGGTTTCATGTACTGCCTGCATCCGTCACATGGGGCTTTGCTAGTTTGTACGACCTGGTTGCTGGCATGCTGTGGCCCGGTGCCAGTCCACGGACCGGGGGTTGGGGACCCCTGCAATAAAGGACCAGGTCTTGCCCCTCCTCTCCCTCTGCAGCACAGTTGGCAGGTCTGCAGACCATGGAGCACAGCAGCCATTGGATGGCATTGGCCTACAAGCAAGGAAGTTGCTGATAGACTACCACCAGGCACCCTGTGCCCCTTCCCTTCAACCCGAGGTAGCTTGACAGAATCAGGAAACAGGAAGAGGACTGGATTTGGCCCATGGGATATAGTTTGCTGACCCCTGCTTTAAACTGATTTAACATTCCTGGGAAAGGAGGAAAAAAACTTTGATTTAGACAGACAGACAGACAGACAGACAGACAGACAGGCAGACAGACACAGACAGACAGACAGACAGACAGACAGACAGACAGACAGACAGACAGACAATTAACCTTTCTACCATATAGGAAGATGGGGAAAGCAGTTTGGAGAGGTATAGTGGCCAACTCTGGAATGCAATCTCTAGATAACAAAATAATAATAATAATGATAAAGTTGGAAGGGACCTCGGAGGTCATCTAGTCCAACCTCCTGCTCAGGCAGGAAACCCTATACCATTTCGGACAAATGGCTGTCCAGTTTCTTCTTAAAAACTTCCAGTGTTGGCGCATTCACCGCTTCTGGAGGCAGGTTGTTCCACTGGTTAATTGTTCTAACTGTCAGGAAGTTTTTCCTTANTTAAACTAGACATACCCAATTCCAGCAACCGTTCCTTATATGTTTTAGCCTCCAGTCCCCTAATCATCTTTGTTGCTCTTCTCTGTACTCTTTCTAGACTCTCAGCATCTTTTTTACATCGTGGTGACCAAAACTGGATGCAGTATTCCAAGTGTACCTAGGGACAATTGAGTTTCCTCTATGCCAAGTGTTTAAGATAGAATACTACAGCAACCATCATTTCCCCTTAATATACACTAATATCTTTGATGAAGATGTAACATTTGCTACTGCCTTTGTCATCTGCCCTTCTCTGGGTAATTATGATGGAGTGGGGAAGCCAGAGTTCCTGTAAAACTTTGGAATCCAGCCTTGCTACCTACAGTATTTTGACTGAGACTTGTTCCCTGCTCAGCTATTTTACAATAACTAAGTACTGTACTGTAGATGAGTTTGTACCACCACTTCTTCTCTTGCCCTTTCTCATTGAACAAGAGCTAGATCAGTGGTTCTCAACCTTTTTAATGCCGCGACCCCAACCAATCGTAAGTCGAGGACTAAACCGGTCGTAAGTTGAGGACTACACAACCGGTCGTAAGTCGAGGACTTTCCCTGCCCGAGAGCGCCGCGCATGCGTGGTTCCGCCCCCTGCGCCGGCCGAGGCGTAGCTGGCAAGAGGCAGAGACGGAGCAGGCCAACCACCAGCTGGCCCAGCCCAAGGGAGGTAAGGCACCCGCCAGAAAAGGGGAAAAAATGGCAGGCAAAAAAAATGGCGGACAAAAAAAATGGCGGACAGCCTTGCTTGGCGACCCCCATGAAATGGTCGATCGACCCCAAATGGGGTCCCGACCCACAGGTTGAGAACCACTGAGCTAGATGTTACTTGTAAGCAGGGCTTTTTTGTCATAGAAGGCCCAGAACGGAGTTCCGGCACCTTTTTTGGATGGAACCTTGTAGGGTAGGCAAGGCGGGTTGTATGATGTGTGTGAGTTCCGGCACCTTTTTTTTTAATACAAAAAAAGCACTGATTGTAAGGCAGTTGAAGAAATTTGAGTTCTTTCCACACATGTCTTAAACCAATCCAGGGCTATAACCATTTTGCAGTTTCTTTTTTTTTAAAAAAAGTTTGTTTTTCTACCGTATTTTTGGAAAAGCTGAAATGTTCTCTTGCATTTTTCTGGGTTGCATTTTTATTGCTGGTCATGATAAAGGGTGGTACTGGAACAGCTGATTTCTATTACTCCTCTTTCATCACTCTGAAGTCTCCTGGCTGGCTGCTCAATCAATTTCCCAATCTGAAGAAGAGGCACATTTCTGTTAAAATGTAATTAGCCAAACAGTAATCAGAAAAGCTACAGATCACTGTAAAGACAATTTACTCTGAAGGATCAGATACTCAAAAATACCCCTTAGCCATATTATTATACAGTAAGTGCAAGAATACCAATCTTCACTGACGGAACTTTCACTAAACTTTTTTTTCTCCTTTGAAATGAAATTCTCTTTTCCATCAAACTGAATGAGATCTAGCTGAAAGAATGAAAGAACCTTTCTGCATGGCATTACTTAATTTTTGCTGCCTGTCTTTGAACCAGAGGGTTCTCATTCTCCCCACCTTCTCTCTCTGCACCGTGTGTGTGCTTTAAAAGCAAACAGATATTTGGCTTGCATTTTAGGTTTGACTATTGAGGGCCCTGTATTTATTTTATGGCAATTTCTTTTTTTTTTTTTTTTATAAACAAACTTTATTGATTTTTTTT